TTTTCGGAACGGCTAGACCTGCCTTTGCCAAAAACTAATTCGTTTTGATTAATCAGCACGTCTCATTATCAATACAAATCGATTGTTTTTTAAATTGTTCAAATCGGTTATTCCATACTGTCGAAAAGATTTTATGTGAGAAACGCCTGATCGCACAGCAAATACATAGCTTTTTGACAGTTTTTTTTCTACCAATTTATACGAAGATACACCCGTAACATAGCGTTGCCATAACGTTTCTATTATATTAGAAAATTGGCTCCTGGTTTCAGAAACACTAACAATAAGATTATTTATGATACTTGAAGTTACAGTGTTTGCAGAATACAGGTGTATTAAAATTACCAGTTCTGATAATATTATAAAACTACTACATTTAATAAATTAAGATCAAATAAAAATGTTCAATATAAAAATTGAAAAAATTAAAAAGTTAATTAAGAGAGATTGACCCGCATTGATTAATATTTTAAATAGAAATTAAAAAAAAACATAGTTCGGCAAGTCAGTGAAAGCGATTATAGATACTTTTTCAGTACATTTCTAACGTCAAATCAAATAACCAAATCAATTATAATATTTTGAGTGTAATGTATGCACTTTCTTTTATTATATACAATGACCTTCATATTTTGCATGCCCGAAATATAATAGTTGATTACAGACCATTACAACGAAAGCTGGTTCTGAAAAAAATGCTTTCATTCTATAAATTAATTAAATCATAGTATAGACTTACACTCCAACTACTCCAGGCAAATCTCCAAAGAAATCTTTTCGTACAACTCCTTTATAATGAACTAAACAAGGCATAGATGGCCTGAATGGAGTAGGTCCTTCGTTTCTGTAAACCTGAAATAAAATATTCACAGAATATATTTTAATAGAATAATACATATGATGATATTTTATATGATAATTTATCATATGATAATAATTTTAAATGTTTTTTCACTAAATAAGTGTATATTTTATTTTAGTACTCCATGTTCTACGAACAAGTTTCTTTCTTGACTTCTCGATTTATATCTGATATTTTAAAAGAATATGCTGCCGAAAAGCGTAGACTTGAGGCAAGAAGGGAATTGGCTTTTGGGCACTCCAATTCCATCACTAGTGCAAATCTTGCAGAAGAAACTCAAGGAGAACAACTATTGGAACAACTAATTTTAAATGAAACTATTATAAATTTTTCCAATTTTCGTTCAGTTATTAATTCAGTTAACAATCTACCAGTTGAAGCTATTCAGGCGGTGAACGACGTTGCAGATCAAGTTGGTCCTAGATGCTCTCTTTATGAGATTTCTTATAAAAACAGAAATTCAAGTCATGAAGTTGGTTTGATCGACATATACTCCGAATTGTTCTCCTGGCTGAATGCTGATGCAAGGCCTAGCATGAGGATCAAGGAAATAATAGAAGCCGGCCCTGAAAAGCCTTTGTCTTTTCATCTTAAGAAAAACTATGAAGACCTCATTGTTAAGAAGAATTTGAAATATAAAGAGGAAGTCAGAAATTCCTTGAGAAAAACGCATTTTTTCCAGGTATTAGATGACGTCCAACTTGATGAAGCATTAGAAGCTATGATAGAAATCCGTATCAACTCCGGCGACGTTATGATTGATTTCGACGAGCCCATTGACAAATTTTATGTCTTGGTCGACGGATTGATAGAAATACGATACAAACCCAATGTTACTAAAAAAATCTATTTATACCAAAGATTTGACACTTTTAAAGAGACAGCTTTACTCTATGATGAGCCCAGCAAAGAATTGTTAACAGCTTTAATTGAGAGTCGTCTGTGGATAATGACACAGGCTGATTATAGGCGAATTGTTCTCGAAACTGGTAAACCCAAAGAAACAAACACGGTTAGAGTTTTAAAATCTGTTACTTTATTTCGAAACCTTCGTCAAGAGCAGTATGAATCTTTGAGTTATTTAGTTGAGCCATTTATGTTCAAAAGGGGAAGCTGTGTGTTTAGAGAAGGACACGAAGCATCTGGTGGGTAATAGATATACGTACAAACACATTAAAACACACATAACCGTAAATGTAAATTTGAAAATGAATTGAAATTGTACAAATGGACAAATTACACAAAAAACTACATCTTTGAAGTAGGTGCTTTAGTTATTGGCCCAGCTATACTTTAGTTACCTACCACACAGTAAATTTTTAATAACCTCATGTTTTTATATTTTCAAATTTTCATTTATATTATATATACAATACTGAATGAATCATACATATCAAAATGATTAACCCTTTGCGTCCAGCACTGTTTTTTTTTAATATTTTTCAACAGCAATCAGAACCTTACGTCCTATGAGCTGTTGGGCTGAAACTTCCCTTACTTCCTATTTTTTAGATGGTAACCCAATGGTTAATCCATCCATATTTGATGATTTTTGTTATTAGAATTAATCTAATAGGACTGACTTTTTATTGGTGCAGCAATGCCGGGCAAGGGCTATTTTCACTTGGAAACATATAAGCACTGATTTAATATCGAACTATCAGCAACTCGGTGCCGCATTCTGACGAAAACATACCTGCTGTAAACATGATACTATTATGCATGTTCTGCAAATTATTTGATATTAATTTGTGGACATTGAAGAATATACATTTAGAATAATACTTTAATTTATTTCCTGTGGTTGCTAAGTTTAAAGCAATTCTCAAAGGCATAGTGAGTGGGTTGATTCGAGTATCCTTATAATGAATTAGCATCGTGAAAGTTTTTTTCGATCATTTTACAGAAAAATGTAATATGTATATCGTTTCTTACGTGTCTTTTTTTATGAAAATTGCTAAATTTTGGTAAAATTCTACAATAGGAATGTTTGGCAGGTTGCAGAAAAATATTTAAAAGGCCGCATGAAGCCTAAAGGTCGCTGGCCCCATGTTCATTGTTTATCTATTCTATCAACGTTTCAGTACGAACTGAGTCATTGTGTATACAAACTGCCGAGTGCCTTTCAGAGAAGACAGTCGAACGATATGCTAGACTTGCCCAAAAGTGGCCAACCGGGCGCAAAGGGTTGATATTTTGTACCTTCCTTTAAATGATAACTTCAACTCAATATTCCTACTCCTAACTTCCTTTTCCCTCCTTTCCTATCCAGGTGTGTACATCGTTGAATTTGGTGTGGCTGGTCTTACAAAAAGAACACTAGGCGGTTTGGAGTTGGAAATTGGTCGAGTAAGAGCCAATGGATTTTTTGGCGAGATTGCCTTAATAAGTAGTAAACGAAGAACATTTTCTGTCTACGCCATAGAAAACATGCGCCTACTTTATATAGACGTGAAACAGCTACGAAGCGTTGTCGGATCGTGTGCTGATCTATTGCATCGTAATTTTACCGAGTTTAATTGATTTTAGAGAAATTGATTTTATTAAGAAAAACTTTGCCGTCAAATTTCAAAAATTTGAAAATTTTCGAAAAATTCTAAGCCATTATTAACTGGCAGTCGAATGCGTCGTTTGTGAATAATTTATATAACCAATATGTAAAAGACTGTAAATGTTATTTTTTTATATAATTTTATGATTGATTTTTAATAAATTTTTTTTTGATATTTTAAATTTGTTTTTTTAATTAATCTTAATTATATTTATCGTATTTATTTTTTTTTTGATTATCTTTTAAAGTAATTTGTGTATCAACTTTATTTCTAAAAACTTTTGCTCATACAACTATAATTATATCGCAGAAATTTATAAGCAAAAATTATTTTTGTTCTATTAAGAATTTTTGTGCACAATTAAATTATATTTTTATTTTTGTTGTTTCATATGCATAATCTTACTATAATGATATAAATATTATTAGTGATTCAATTGCAGAAGTTTTCTAGAATTTTGGAAATTTATTGATTTTGAAAGGCTTTCTTTTAAAAAAAAAATTACTAAAGTGCCATTAAAAGTTCGTATTTCGCGTATATAATCAGAATTGTAAAATGTTACAATACTTGTTACTTTAATATTATATAAAACGAGTCAAAATATAAAAACCTCAAGTAATCCTACTTTTGGATAAAAATGATCTTGTGTTGTTTGGAAACTAGAGCTTTGATGAAATTATGACCATTTTTTGGTTACTGTATTTAACTTTTATTAATTTTGTTTATTAGGAAACGCAACTGTCGATAACATTTCTAGGTAAAACATTTCTACATCAAAAATAACATTGCAATTTCCTCAAGCTTTCAAGAATGAAGGCTTTTTAACTATAATTTAAAATTTCTAAAATTGACCTTGAGAATCCCTCTTTTTAAAAAATGTACTAAAGTATGCTGGCAAGTTTCAACAAAAGTGGACGCATTTAATCAGGATTATAAAATAGTAAAATACTTGAAAAACTCGGAAAATTTCGAGAAAAAACAAAATTAGTTCATATGTATGTTCTTATTTTATTTTTAGGTTTTTACCTTTTTGCTCGAAATTTTTCTCGAAATTAGATTCTTGAATATAATTGTAAACTCTACTATGTTAATCTGCAAAATTGAAATTTTTACACACCTTTTCGATTTCATCTGCATCGTACACGAAGAGAAGATCTGGTCTACCTAAAAGTCCTCCAAGGCGAACAATGCGTCCGTATTTTTCGTAAAATATTTCTGATACCCGTGCTATGTCGGATATTTGATATTGGCCTATTATCGGAAGCAATCTGAAAAAAAAGATCTAAATTAAAAAAAAAACTCAACTAAATTCATTTTATAAAATTAGTTTATAATTCAGGTCGAATCTAAATAAAACCAGTTATCTTTACCATTATTATTATTATTTTTTTTTTATTATTTTATTGGCTTTATAAACTGGTACATTAGCCATATACTAAATTACATAATATCTACACTATCTCTTACATATATATCATTGTTTTATGTATATTGCATTTATAATTTTATATTATTTGATTTGATGTAAATATAAAGAGCTTCATATAATCTTGTATCTGTCAGCACTGTTATAAAATTAATTGGAAGTGAGATTTTTTGTTTGATTATTTCCTCCCATAGTTTTTGTCTGCCCTTTTCCTAACTAGTAACTAGTACTAAAATGTATTCAATCTTCTTTTTGTTCAGGCTTTGGAACAAGATTTTCTAATTTCACTTACGTCAGAAGCGATATCTATCAATTATTTATTATATTCATTAATATTTATATTCGATCAATTTCAAAACTAGGCAATAAAATCAGAATTTTGATTATTTTAATTTGGTTTATAAATGTGTGGGATATGAGATACTTATGACAAGTAACCAGGGCTTAGACTTTATTACTAATAACTTATTTCATTTTTCTCATTCGTAGACCAGAAAATATTTTACTTTAGTTTTCTAAATATAATAAAGAAAGAAATAAATATTTCGAAATTATTTATTTTTATTATTCAAATAATTTTGTTGTCGGTCGCATATTTAATAATTATGCTTTCTTTTGTTTAAGTAGTTTTAATCACAATCTAGGACCAAGATTGTTAAAATTAAATTTTATGCATGGTACTTACAGAGTTAATTTAAATTAAGGAATGATCTTTTATAATTATTTGCTTTAAACAGACTTAATTTGCAAAAATTTATTGATTTGCAAATACATTGCAAATTTGTCGAATGTGTACATAATTTGAATTTGAATAATGTACTACTGGCTTGGCTGTTCTTCTGAAAATTGTATTTTATAAAAAATATACAGACCCTCTTAAAATATTAAGTATTTAAATGTTATTCAACTTTATTCATTTTCATTTGGCATATATTTTTGTTTAAAAAAATATGTAATCATTATTTTAAGAATACTAGATATGATAATTAAAAACTATTTATAATATTTATCATTGTTATACATATATAAATATATATTCTCTTCAATTCATTTTTTTTTCAATCCATTTTTTTTCTTTATTCCATTTCCTTCTTATTACATTTCCTTCTTATTACATTTCCTTCTTATTTCCTTCCTTCTTTATTTCCTTCCCTCTTTATTTCCTTTCCTCTTTATTTCTTTTCCTCTTTATTTGCTTTTCTCTTTATTCCATCTTCTCTTTATTCCATTTTCTCTTTATTAACTTTTTTCTTTATTCCATTTTCTCTTTATTAACTTTTTTCTTTATTCCATTTTCTCTTTATTAACTTTTTTCTTTATTCTATTTTCTCTTTATTAACTTTTTTCTTTATTCCATTTTCTCTTTATTAACTTTTTTTCTTTATTCCATTTTCTCTTTATTAACTTTTTTCTTTATTCCATTTTCTCTTTATTAACTTTTTTTCTTTATTCCATTTTCTCTTTATTAACTTTTTTCTTTATTCCATTTTCTCTTAATTCCATTTTGTCTGTATTAAATAGAGAAAAACCGCGGTAAGTCGATTATGGCTATACAATTACTTACATAATACGCCTTTTTAACTTCCCGTAGGGCAAGTTATAGTAATCGCAAAAAAATCGAAAATGAAAATTTTTATATATCTTTACGTTTCAGAGGTTTCTGAACATTTTGGCATACCTTAGAAAAAATGGATGTATGTGTGTGTGTGTGTGTGTGTGTGTGTGTGTGTGTGTGTGTGCGTGTGCGTGTGTGTATGTATGTGCGGATACAAATTTTCGTCGACGATTTCGGGAACACGGATCAACCGATTTGAATAATTCAAAAAACATTCGATTCGTATTGATAAGGAGACGTGCTGATTAGTTTTTGGCGAAGGCAGGTCTAGCCGTTCCGAAGATACGGGGCAAAAAGTGCCGAAAACGGTAACTCAGTTTTTAAGAGAACGGAGCGTCCGATTTGAATAATTCAAAAAACATTTCACTTGTATTGACTAGATAAATAATCGATAAAATTTTCATGAAGGTAGGTCTAGCGGTTTCGGAGATATGGAGGAAAAAGTAAAAAAATGAGCCATTTGGCGGTCAAAAATGTTCATTAGACATATGCACATAAAATTATCAGATATTTTATAGAGATTTTAACAATAAGTATACATTTTGTTAACATTCCTATGGGTTCCGTACCAATGCTTATGCGTTAGACAGCGACGCGGCGCTTACGCGCTTTATATTTTGTCCCTATGCAGTTAAAGCAGTACGATTGCTTTGAAAAAAAAGTTCAGATCTTCCACAATATGTCAAAATAAAGAAAAAAAATTTTTTTTCAAAAAAAAAATTAAAAAAAAAAAAATTTTTTCAAAAATTTTTTTTTCAAAAAAAAGTAATTTTTTGTCCAATTTATAGTTTCTCAAAAATCTTATTTTTTCAAAGTAAATTTTTTTCAAAAATGTTAATCGTTTTTAAAAAAAATAATAATTTTTGGTACGGGAAGTTCCAGCAATTTGCCTTAAGGCACGATGCCATAATTGCCTTAAGACAGAATTTCACTTACAGCTGGTTACTATGATCCCTGCACTATGAACAGTTTGTTCTTATCACGCATAATACGCTTTCTTGCAAAATATGCCTTTTTTGGTCGAGTCACTTGGAAAATCGTCTTAAAGGAGTCTTACTTTATACATGTCGCTCTGAGAAAAATGGGAAAAAAATGTGCTAATAATCTTGGTAGATGTATTAAGGGCCTACATTCTATTATTTATACATATTTCATATTTAATTAAATTATTACTATCACCAATTTGTTCAGATACGTGAAATCATAGCTAATGTGTTGAATACTCCATTTCAATAGAAATTACAAAAATTGAAATAACCCACATATCTTCTAATCGTTTTTATTAGACTATTGTTGTTTGTATCATATAGGACATGACAATCAGAAACGTGTATGGAATTCCTAGTTTTTTCTGTACTTTAAATTTCTCTTCAATTAGATATTCAACAAAGGAGTTCCACCTCCATTTGAACGCATTACAAGAGAGTAAATGTTTTTTTGTTCTTGACCTAGAGACGCTTGAATTGATTTCAAGATGACAGTGTGGTTTGCATTATTATTAATCCGCGGATCAAAAACCTTTGTACGAGAATAATATGATAAACTAGCTGTAAGTGGAATTCTGTCTTAAGGCAATTAGGGCATCGTGCCTTAAGGCAAATTGCTGGAACTTCCCGTACCAATAATTATTATTTTTTTTTAAAACGATTAACATTTTTGAAAAAAAATTACTTTGAAAAAATAAGATTTTTGAGAAACTATAAATTGGACAAAAAATTAGTTTTTTTTTTTGAAAAAAAAATTTTTTAAAAAAATTTTTTTTTTTTTAATTTTTTTTTTTTTTGAAAAAAATTTTTTTTTTCTTTATTTTGACATATTGTGGAAGATCTGAACTTTTTTTTCAAAGCAATCGTACTGCTTTAACTACATAGGGACAAAATATAAAGCGCGTAAGCGCCGCGTCGCTGTCTAACGCATAAACATTGGTACGGAACCGATAGGAATGTTAACAAAATGTATACTTATTGTTAAAATGTCTGATAATTTGATGTGCATATGTCTAATGATCATTTTTGACCGCCAAATGGCTCATTTTTTTACTTTTTCCTCTATATCTCCGAAACCGCTAGACCTACCTTTATGAAAATTTTATAGATTCTTCATCTTGTCAATACAAGTGAAATGTTTTTTGAATTATTAAAATCGGACGCTCCGTTCTCTTAAAAACTGAGTTACCGTTTTCGGAACTTTTTGCCCCGTATCTTCGGAACGGCTTGACCTGCCTTTGCCAAAAACTAATCAGCACGTCTCCTTATCAATACGGATCGAATGTTTTTTGAATTATTCAAATCGGTTGTTCCGTGTTCCCGAAATCGTCGACGAAAATTTGTATCCGCACATACATACACACACATACATACATACACACACACATACACACACACATACACACACACACACACACACACACACACACATACATCCATTTTTTCTAAGGTATGCCAAAATGTTCAGAAACCTCTGAAACGTAAAGATATATAAAAATTTTCATTTTCGATTTTTTTGCGATTACTATAACTTGCCCTACGGGAAGTTAATTATTTCCTGAAGCCTTTGTGAAAGAATTTTTTCTTGCTTTTTATGAATGATAGTATAGGAAAAAAATACATTGTTAGTGATACCTTTTCATACAAATCTTTTTGGGCGTTCACTCATTTATTTATTAAGTCTATTGATTTATGATTTTGGTACTAACAAAGAAACCCTCAGGTTTACACTCTTGGGATTTTGTTGAAACTTAGCATGGTGGTAAAGTTGATAGTCAAACCAAACCCCATAAAATATTACAGGCGTATGAGAAGTGGTTTAATTATAAAAACTAGCTGTAAGTGGAATTCTGTCTCAAGGCAATTAGGGCATCGTGCCTTAAGGCAAATTGCTGGAACTTCCCGTACCAAAAATTTTTATTTTTTTTAAAAACGATTAACATTTTTGAAAAAATAAGATTTTTGAGAAACTATAAATTGGACAAAAAATTAGTTTTTTTTGAAAAAAAAAATTTTAAAAAAAAAATTTTTTTTTTTTAAAAAAAAATTTTTTTTGAAAAAAATTTTTTTTTCTTTATTTCGACATATTGTAGAAGATCTGAACTTTTTTTTCAAAGCAATCGTACTGCTTTAACTACATAGGGACAAAATATAAAGCGCGTAAGCGCCGCGTCGCTGTCTAACGCATAAGCATTGGTACGGAACCCATAGGAATGTTAACAAAATGTATACTTATTGTTA